AAAGAGAGAGGGATCTCGCCCGGAAGGAGCCGGCAAAGATTACGACCCGCCCGAGGGTTGTGTCGGCATTCACCTGCACTGGACGTTGGCCTTTTTGGGGCTTTGAGGGTCTCCGTGTCCTTTCCTTTCCCTTTTTTATCGTCATTACAACTTAGTTCCGGGCAATTAGTGCCTAATTCTCACCGACTCCTTACCTGCTTCGTCAACCTCTGCCACTGGTGGTTGTGCGAGCCGGATCTAGACCTGTTCCGGTATCTTTTCACCGTGAACAAGGTCGGCTCGCACTCGCCGGGCTTTGTTCAAGTTGCCGCTCGCCCGGGGCGACAGCTTTTCGAGGGTTGTCCGATTCCATTAAGGACTGGAAGCTCCTCTACTTCTTCGTCGCCCTGCTTTCTCTCCTTCACCTTTCCGACCTTGTGGTCGGCCGCTCTATTCAAGCCTTGCTCTCAGCGTGCCGTCCCTTCCGATGATGCGGTCCTGGGCGGCGAGTTCTTGAAGGGCTTTGGGCTGTACTCCGTCAAGTACTGGTCCCGAGTCCGGGCCATGGCTAAGCGTGGCTTGCTGCCGGAGGGTGCGGCCACCGTAGGTAGTCTTCGTTGCCTCTCGTTCCTCTTCTTTTTATTCTGTCACATTCCGATTCGGAATACTTATGATTTTCCCTCCTTTCGCAGGTCCGTACGACTCCGACTCCTCCAGTTCCGACGAGGCCGCTGAACCGACCCCTGAGATGATGGACAGAGCCGAAAAGATGAGGCGTCAGTAGTCCCAGCGCACTTCCGGCACTGCTGCTGCCTCTTCCTCCCAACCGTCACCGGCCCCCAAGGTCGACTCCCCCACCACCTCGTCATGTGGTGGATTTGACTCCGTCGCCAGTTGTGTCGCCCACTCGACAGCCGCCTCCTCCTCAGACAGGGGAGTCCAAGCTCTAAGCGTTCGGCCGGTCAAACTGATGAGCCGACTCCGAAAAGGATCCGGCTGTGCCATTGAGGTAGAAGAGGATGCCCAGATCTGGATGGGTGCCTCCTCCGTCCGCAAGTGGTGTGCTAACGTCCTCCCTGGCTAAGGACCTGGCGGCGACTCATGCTCTGGGGATGAGTACATCATCGAGGCCTCGCTGCGCCAGTCGTACCGCGTAAGTGTTCCCGCCTTAATTCCTTTCATTCGTTCTTTCCTTTTATTATCTGACTCGTGGCCATTTCGCAGAACCTCACCTTCCAGATGGAGATGAGCAAGCGGCTGCAGAACTACAGGACCGGAGGTGCGGTCTATGGCCCTCAATTTACGCCAGACGGAGGAGGCCTTTCTGGAAGAGCAAGCGAAGCACCTCAAGGTGGTGGAAGTGCATAACTCCGAGATGCTGAGGGTCACCCGTCAGTGGGAGGAGGAGCGGGACAAGGTGGCGACGATCGCTGCGACCTCCGTTGAGGCTTACAAGAAGTCGGCCGTCTTCGAGGCGGATGTGAAGGCGGCGATAGAGGCTCGCCAAAAGGAAATTGCCAAGGAGTGGCTGTCGACACCGGATGGTGATGAGTTCCTCCTGGACTTGGGCGAGCGTGACTATCGCCTTGGCTTTCGCTAGGCGCAGACAGAAATCCACTCTGCCTTACTGGTTCGCGACTCCTCTTTCACTCCCGAGGGCTGGGGCCTCAAGCCCATGATAAACGCTCTTCCCGCGACTGAAGGACCATCGACGACTGTTGACCCGGCAGCTCTTCCGGCGGCTGCTGATCCGGCGATTCTTCCTACAGCAACACCTCCTGAGCTCGCCGAGCCCTCTCTTCAGGCTGAGGACCCATCTTCTGTTCCCCTGGCTGGACCAACGGCTGGGGCTCAAGTTGAAGGGATTGATGTCGACACCCCCTCCCCAGTAGTTTAGGACTATTCTTTTAGGATAGTCCCTTTTGTAAAGGCTGGCCTCCTTCTCGGGCCTTTTTAAATTTTAATAAAATTCCCCTTTTCTCTTCCTTTTCGTATTATCTTGGGCTCGACGCTTTTTCTTTAACCTTGTTTCTTTAGCCGCTCGCCGAGTCCCTTAGTCGAGGCGACTCCTTAGGCTTTTTCTTTCTCAGAAACGTTTAGGGTCGGTGCCCCGTTGTTTCTTTAAATACTCGCCGAGTCCTTCAGTCGAGGCGACTCCTCTTGGCTTTTTCACGGAAACGACTAAGGGTCTGGGCCCTTGTTTCCTAACTCTTTCTCGCCGAGTCCCTCAGTCGAGGCGACTCCTTAGGCTTTTTCTTTCTCAGAAACGTTTAGGGTCAGTGCCCCGTTGTTTCTTTAAATACTCGCCGAGTCCCTCAGTCGAGGCGACTCCTCTTGGCTTTTTCACGGAAATGACTAAGGGTCTGGGCCCTTGTTTCCTAACTCTTTCAGGCCGAGTCCCTCAGTCGAGGCGACTCCTTAGGCTTTTTCTTTCTCAGAAACGTTTAGGGTCAGTGCGCCGTTGTTTCTTTAAATACTCGCTGAGTCCCTCAGTCGAGGCAACTCCTCTTGGCTTTTTCACGGAAACGACTAAGGGTCTGGGCCCTTGTTTCCTAACTCTTTCTCGCCGAGTCCGGGGAGTGATTAACTGTAACTTGTACTTTTATTCGAGTCTCTCAGGACCCCTGGGCCCATACATGTTTTGTGCTTTTCTACTGATAGAACTTCTTTAGGTGGATGACGTTCCAAATCCGATCCACGGACTTGCCCTCCATGGTTTCCAATTTGTAGGTTCCAGCTTGGACAACCGCGGGAATACGGTATGGTCCCTCCCACTTAATCGCAAGCTTGCCCCCCTCTGTGGGCTGACTGGCCTGTCGATCCCGTAGTACGAGGTCGCCGACCTGGAAGGCTCGCGGACGAATCCTCCGATCGCGATATCTTTTTACCGCCTGTTGGTATTCAGCCATTCGCGCACTCGCGGCTTCCCTCTTTTCTTCTAAGAAATTTTTCTCGATTCGAAGACTCTCTTCGTTCTCCGTGTCTGAATAGGTACGAACCCCGTGAGTGGCCTCAACCACCTCAATTGGAACCTTTGCCTCGAAGCCGTACGCGAGTGAGAATGGACTCTCTCCCGTTGCTTGTCGCTGGGTAGTGCGATAAGCCCATAGGACTCGGTCAAGCTCATCCGCCCAATTTCCTCGAATATCTTCCAATTTCTTCCAAATCCCATCCACCAGCGTTCGGTTCACGTTCTCGACTTGTCCGTTGGCCTGTGGGTATGCCATCGACACCTTAGTGTGGCGGATATCGTGTCGGCGGCAGAAGTCGGCGAATGCCTGACAATCGAACTGTCGCCCGTTGTCGCTGACAATGTGCTCGGCAGGCAGAAGCGGCAAATCACCCTTCTCCACAAAAAACATCGGCATTGGTACTCGGTTATGGTAGCCAGTGGTTCCGCCTCGACCCACTTGGTGAAGTAGTCGATAGCTATGACACAGAACTTCAAGCCTCCGGGGGCGACTGGTAATGGCCCCAGCAAATCGATCCCCCACTTGGCAAATGAGATGGCGGTGGTGACCGGCGTGTAAAAGGTAGCTGGCCGAGTGTCTTTCTTGGCGAATGCCTGGCAAACGCCGCACTTGGATATCCATTCAATACAGTCCCGCATCATGGTTGGCCAATAATATCCTTGGACGACTAACTTTCGAGCAAGCGTGTGGGCGCCTTGGTGCGCGGCACAAATGCCTCTATGGGCTTCGGCCATTATTTTCTCGGCCTCAGGCCTTAGCAAACATTTTAACAAAGGTCCCCCGAATGATTGTTTATATAGTTGCCCATCAATGATTTGGAAAGAGGGGGCCTTTCGTCGAACCCTTGCGGTGACTCCCGGGTCTACCGGTAACTCGCCTTTTTCTATGAATCGCCGGATGTCCTCTATCCAGAACATCTCGGGGTTTTTCTCTCGGTCCCATTCCTCGCCAGTCACTTGTTGGATCCTTAACGTTGTTTCTTCAACGCTTGGTCGACTTAGCTCCTCCTTTTGACAGATTTTTGCCAAGTGGTCCGGTACTCCCTCCAAGGCAATCTTGGATAATATGTCAGCTTCTATGTTATTCGTTTGGGATATATACTCTATTTTGTAGGCTCCGAACTCTTTTAACATCTCGACTGCGCGCTCTCTATATAGAGTCATCCAGGCATTCTTGGCCTCGCATGTGCCTGAGATCTGCCCGACTACTAACCTAGAGTCAGTCTTGACTCGTAACCTCTCGACCCCTAGGGCCCTGGGGAGTCGGAGGCCATTTAACACAGCTTCGTACTCGGCCTCGTTGTTGGAGGCTTGGAACAGGTAGCTCAGGGCATAATACAGTCGGAATCCTTCGGGAGTGATAAGCACAACACCACCTCCACAGTGCTGTCGACTTGATGCTCCATCCGCATGCATTTCCCACCATTCGCCTACGCAATTCTCCGTGGCGTGTTCCTTCTCTTCCTCGCTCGCCGTGCATTCGACCAAGAAGTCGGCCAAGGCTTGCCCTTTTAAGGAAGGCCGGGGCTGGTACTCAATCCCATACTGGGTTAGTTCTACAGCCCATTTTACCAGGCGGCCGGACGACGATGGGTTTCGCAAAACGCTTCCGAGTGGTTGGTCCGTCAGTACTCGGACGGTGTGGGCTTGGAAGTAGGGTGCCAACTTGCGCACGGTGATCACCAACGCGTATACAATTTTTTCCAAGGCGGTATACCTTGACTCGGCAGCCTTCAGGGACCGGCTCACGTAATAAACCGGGTGCTGGACTCGCTCTTCTTCTCGGACCAACACCGAACTCACCGCCTTGCAGGAGGCGGCTAAGTACAGAAATAAGGGCTCGCCCGCCTGGGGGGTAGACAATACCGGGGGTGTCGAGAGGTAATGTTTCAATTCCTCAAACGACTGCTGGCACTCCGGGGTCCAAGCGAATCCTTCCTTCTTCTTCATGGCTTCGAAGAAAGGCACGGTCTTATCCGCCGCCTTGCTCAGGAAGCGGCTAAGGGCGGCCAATCGGCCGGTCAGCCGTTGCAGGTCTTTTATAGTGCTGGGAGGCTGCATGTCGACGATGGCCTGTACTTTCTGAGGGTTAGGCTCGATACCTCGCTTGGTGACCATGTAGCCCAGGAACTTTCCACCTTGCACGGCGAACGCACATTTCTTAGGGTTCAGCCGGAGGTTGTACCTTATCATCACTTTAAAACAGTCGGCCAAATCTTCCGCGTGTTTGCTCTCCTCTCGGCTCTTGACGAGCATGTCATCGACGTACGCGGCCATCGATTTTCCCAGCAGGTGCTGAAATAATCGGGCCACCATTCGGGTATATGTGGCTCCGGCGTTCTTGAGCCCGAAGGGCATGACTCGGTAATAATAAACTCCGTCCGGTGTCAGAAACGCGGTCTTTTCTTCATCCGCCGAGTGCATGAATATCTGATGGTACCCCCTAAAGGCGTCCATAAAGCTCGACAGTGCCGACCCCGCTGTCTCGTCGACCAGTTGATCGATCCGAGGTAAGGGAAACGGGTCTTTTGGGCAGGCCTTATTAAGGTTGGTGTAGTCCACGCACATCCGCCACGCCGGGGGCTTGGGTACAAGGACCACATTCGCCAACCACTCCGGGTACTTAACCTCGCGGACGTGTCCAGCTGCTAGTAGCGTGCTCACTTCCTTCTTCACAAATTCTCTTCGGTCGTTGGCCAGATATCGCTTCTTCTGCGCAACCGGTCGATGCCCGGGATCCACGGCGAGTCTGTGCGATATGATCGATCGGTCGACGCCAGGCATGTCCTCCGGGCCCCAGGCGAAGACCATCCGGTGTTCCCAGAGCACCTTTATAATCTCTTCCTTTACTTTCTCGGGGAGGCCGACTCCAATTCGGACCCGTCGGTCCGGCTGTGTAGAGTCGATCTCGACTTCTTCCAACTCGACGGCAGGCTCCGGACGAGGTAGTATCGTCTTTTTTGGGGGCCTCTCGGTGATCTCATGGACCTGCATCTCGCGTTTGCCCATCCCTCTGCATGCCTGTAGATAGCAGTCGCGGGCGACTTTACGGTCACAGCGCACCGTACCTATTCCGTTTGGCGTGCGGAATTTTAAACAAAGATGCTCGATTGAAATCAGAGCTCCTAGATCCTCGAGACCCGGTCGGCCGAGTATAGCGTTATGCGAACAAGCCAGGTTCACCACAATGAACTTCAAGCTGAGTTTCTGTACATCTGGGTAACTGCCAATCTCCACGGGAACTGTGATTGATCCTTCCGCCTCCACCGAGTCCCCTGTGAAACCGGCGAGGGGAGTTTTGACAGGACTCAGCTGTTCTCGAGTCATTCCCATTTTGATGAAGGTTTCTAAGTATAGCACATTGACGCTGCTTCCGGTGTCTACCAGGATTCGTCGAACGACAACGCCATTGATGTCCATGGCTATAACCAATGCATCTCGATGCGGTATTTCTCCGGCTGGTAAATCTCTGTTGGTGAACACGATGGGCTCTCGGCACACCTTTTTAAGGTTCTCCTCGCGTCCATACACCGTCCTGACATACAACTGGCGGGCCCAGGCTTTTTGGTGTTCGCTGAATCACCACCTTCCGGCCCGCCGACTATCATGTTGATAACCGGCTTCTGGCGCCACTGAGCCTCCTCCTCTTCGGGAGCCGGCTGCTTGCCTCGACTGTTTTCAGCAACGGCGGCGGGATCCTCCTCCCCTCGATTGACCGATCTCCGCCTCCACTATTAGGAGGCGGGGTTCCTTGCTGAATGATACCCTCCATGATCTTCTTCAGGTAGAAGCATTCCTCCGTGCTGTGGGTATAAGATTTATGATAACGACAGTACTTAGAGGTCTTACCAGTCTCTTCGTTCGTCGCGCGATCGTCGGTCGGCGGAGGCGGAGGCAGGGCAACCTCTTGTATCTCGTGGACCGGCCGTTCGGGAATCGGCCGATAGGCGTGGACGACGGGTCTGTCATACGGTCGTCTGACCTCAGGTCGTCGAGTTACGTCCGGGCGCCTTTCCTTGGTTTCAGCTTGCGTCCTCTTCCCGCTAGCGGATCCGCCGACTTCGCGCTGCCGCTTATGCTGCATAGCCTGCTCTGTGTTGGCCCTCTTGTTGGCCATATGAATGGCTTCTGCGTAGGTGGCCGGGCGATTGTCCCTCAAGTCTCGGTATAGCTGGCCAGACCGCAAGGACTCGATGAAGAAGGTGAGCGCCGTCTGGTCCTCGACCTCCTCTATGGACTGGATTTCTTTCTGCCAGCGGGCCAAATAGGTTTTTAAGGACTCGCCTTCAACCTGATGAATGTCGCCCAAGTGTGTTAGGTCCTTTTGTGGTTTGATATTAGCGGCATAGTGGCTCATGAAGCGGTCCGCCAGCTCTTCAAAGCTGTGAATTGACCCCGAGGGCTGCGCCACTAGCCACCTTTGCGCTGATCCTTTCAACGTGGGTAAGAAAGTGCGGCACATGACCGGATCTCGTACCCCCAAAACCTGCATCTTAGCCTGATAGCTCAGCAAATGCTCTCGGGGATCGCCGGTTCCATCGAACGTGGCCTGCTCCGGGAACTTGAAATCACCCGGTATCTTAAAGGCCATGACCTCGTCCGAGAAGGGTAAGGCGGTCAATAACGTACGTCCTGGGGATTTGGCTTACCCCTCCATCCGTTCTTTCAGATTTCGCACTTCTTGGACTAAGTTCGCCACTTCGACCCTCTCCCGGGTGCGATTTCCAATGGATTCCGTGCTCTCACCGACCTCTGACTCGGCAGGTTGGTCGTGGTTGCGGAGGGGTTGCTCCACGCGGCAAGTCTCAGTCCTCGCTCTTTTGGAACGGTTCTTCTCTCGTGCAGCTTGTCGATCGCGAGCGGCTAACGGGGCACGACTGGGTTCCTTCCGACCCAATCGTTCTCTTGCCGACCGACGCCCAACGCTGGGACCCAGCCGAGAATAAACGGACTGTACCGGTTGGCTTTCGGCCCGTCGATTCTGTTGCTGGTTGTCGGGCCTATGAGGCGGCCGTGAATCGCGTTGTGGCTGGCGAGTGACGGACTGTTCTCTCACTCCCAGGCTTGCTTCGGCGCAGGCACGCCCGATCGCACGTAGCTGCTCTGGGGTGAGCAGCACTTGGGGCAACTGTTGGTTTATCGGTGGTGTCGGCGGCGTTGTTGTCTCATTTTCCCGGCTCCGGGTGTTTCTTCGATTCAGCTGGCTTCTCAGGTCCGCCTCCCGTCCATTGTCATGACGGCTCGATTGTTCCTCACTTCCTGCCATATCCGGAGCTTTTCTAATTCGACTGAGATTCTAATTGTCGTTCCTCGGACTCGCCTCACTCAAGAGGACACGTGACTCTTAGTTTCGATCCCCACAGACGGCGCCAGTGATGGTTTTTGGGTTTTCGGGCCCAAGGAGGTCCAACACAACCTATGGCTGGAGGATACACCTTTCAATAAAAATGTATGCCTATCTCGGAAACAATGATAGTACTCGGAATCTCTCTGGTATTCTCCCTTCTCCGGGTATTCAATCGTCCGTCCTTCTACAAGAGAGGAGGAGCCTTTAAATAGCGGCTCCTCCTCTACCGACTTGAAGGCCCTTAATGGCCGACTTCAAGACTAATCAAGATATGGAGCCGTTAGACGACATTACTCGGTCAACCAACGGCTCTTCTAGGCTTGTAACAGCCTGACCGAGTCCTGCTTTCAATGCCCTAACGGCTCCCTTTTAAACGAGCCTCTTCAATGCTCTCAACGGCTCCTTGAACCGAGTCTTTCCCTGGGCTTGGGCCTTGGTCGACTCCTCGTCTTAGCCTAAGCTCCCACTGGGCTCCTCTTTAACAGTTCTGAACCGGGCCCCGTGCCTGGGCCTGGGCCGACTCCAGGACTCGGCCCAATTGCTCTTCGGGCTCCTCGGACACTAGCCCACTTCTCCTATCTCGAACCATTTCCTTTGGGCCTCTATCTCTTGGGCCGGGGTCCTTATCCCATCAATATATATATATATATATATATATATATATATATATATATATATATATATATATATATATATATATATATATATATATATATATATATGATTGCATCATATCGTCTGGACTGTTGGAAATAGTCCATTCAAAGGACATCATTTTCGGACATAATTATGTGGCAAGCATGAATTGTGCTAAGTGTGTGGATGTGGCAGCTTTAATGTCTCTTAGTCCTGTACTATAAAAGTGGCAGCCCTCCTTTGTCTAAAACACACCAAGAAGAAACATATTCTTCTTCATTCTTCCTTCTTCGTCACTAATATATATTATATTATATAATATATATTATAATATATAATTCCGTGCTTGCATGTTCAAGTCTGAGCAATAGTGAGGTTCGCCTACGTGATTGCTAGTGCAAGCTATCCGTAGTAGGTCTGTGTAGCCTGTCGAAAGCGTGCCAGGGTTCTAACTGCACCGTTACCGGGCAAATAACGCTTTTAAGGTAGTGTTATTATAACACGGCATAGATTTCCTTTCAACCATACACCAATAGTGTCCGTGCTTCTCAAAAGGCTTCCAGATCGCGCGTTGACGTTGCAAATTTCCCCAACAGTTAAAAGCGTTATTTTGCAACAGTCAACCTTCAGCATTTTGGCACCTACTGTCATACCGGATCTATCAAAAATCAATGTGCTTGATGGGAAAAATTACAGTAGGTGGGCTAAAAGAATGCTGATTCTTTTCGAACAATTAAAGTTGGTTTACGTGCTATATTCAGTTGCACCTGAACCTACTCCAACAGTGTTCTCTCCGTTTGGTGCTACAAAATGTAACCATGAACCTGATTACACTCCGGGTGAAGAATCGAGAGAAAGCAGTCCTGAAATAGATTACATTCCGGGTCAAGAACCGGGTGTAACTCTGATTCAATTTAGAAATGACAATGCGGCAGCCAGAGGATACTTGCTGTCACAAATGAATGACGATTTGTTCGACATCTATGTCAAACAAGATTCGGCAAAAGTCATTTGGGAATCACTGTCAGAAAAGTACGGTGCCAATGGAACTGAAAATCAAAGTGTCAGAACTGTCTACAACAAAAGGAGTAGAAAAATCAAGAAGTTCAAAGGAAGGTGTTTCACATGCAAAAAGCAAGGACACCGAGCACACTAGTGCTACCATCAGAAGGGCAAAACTAGCAAAAGTCAATCTGACAGAGCAAGATGAGTTTTGAGTCTCTTTAAATAAATAGTTATTTTGAGTAACTATATTTGCTCTAGTTCTAAGGGTTCGCATGAAGTATGGTTATCTTAGTACTGAATTCTAGTTGAGCTGTCTAGATTTTGATTACTTAGTAGTACTTATTTCTTTAGTATTTTGAATACTAATGACATTGATTGAAATAATTCGTGCATAGATATTGCTCAAACTTTTTACTAAAATTATTTGTATAAAATTAAGAGCATATATCATAGGCTTCAATTGTAATTTAGTGAGAACATGGAAAAGTCATCATTCTTGAACACTCTGTCTAGGAAGATGGTTTTTAAGTAAACTTCGGTTTCACCACTCGACCTGGGAGTTTTAAGAAGTAGGGTGTTGATTATGCAGGCTAGTTAGAGCGCCACTTGATCTTTACCTGAAATGAGGTTGACTTTCATATGTTGCTAATACAATCAAAGCCTTGCAATAGAAGTTGTTGAAGTACTGCAATATTGATCTGCACCCTATGAATGCTTTATATGAGTTTTAAATTCCTTAAGGGAAGGAAAAAATTGTGCTAGTGGCAACTCTGAAGTCTCATTGTTGAGAGATATTCCGAATAAATATGAACTCGAACATATTCCTTGTGTATGAGATTAATTTCTTATAAGAATATGATGTGAAATTTGTGATTATATTGTTCAACTTCATGTAGCATGTGAACAACATTATTTCTATGGCTTACTAACAATGAGCATTTATATATATATATATATATTATTTAAACTCTTGGTTGAGTCATATTGAAATACCTATAATTCCTAGTTAAAGGGTAATTGTGGTCAATTGAGATAACCAAGTTTGTTGAAATATATTCAACTGTTGAGCATGTATCAGGTAGAGTGCAAAGCTTCTATAATGCTCCACAAAGCAAATCGGCAAAACTCAGTCTACAAAGGAGCTAAAGTTGGGCACCAAAGATCAGTCTGAGTAAGAGATCAAATACGTTTGACAAAAATATTTGTAAGTGTTGCATTGTGGGGGTAATAAACTCCATATATTTTCATCAAAAGTTTCTCTGTGGTATTGAGAATAATGATGAAAGAGAATGTGTCATGTTAAACATGAAAATCTCAAGGGATTATTTACGAGTTAATAGGAACCAATACACATGGAATCCAGAAAGGGTAAATAGTGGGCTCATCACAAGGCCCATAAAGACGACCTTAAAACATCATTGGTGGAAAAAAC